CTGTTCCCCCAAAACCAGGACTCAGCTCTGTCCCTGCCTGCTCTGGTGCCTTGTTAACTGGTGCCACTTATCTTGTGTTATGGGCAGTATGGTACCTACTCCCTTGGTTCCCAGCCTTGTTGGTCTTGTTGTGTTAGACAACCTGTCTGCTCATAATGAGAAACATTATGCGTGAGAGACCCAAGTTTTTTAGAAATCAGTTAATCCAGGCTGTCCATCTTAAACCACTCCAATGCATATGCATGTACCTATAAGCCAATTTCCAAAAAAATCCTTTAAATACCATTTTTAAGCCGACAGGTGGGGGTGTGGAAGGGTCTAGAGGGAGCGATAGCTGGAAGAGGCTCCCTGTGAGGAGACATGGATGGAGGGAGCTATCTGTTACTGAGGGGAGGTTGACCCCCGGGGAATTTCCATAGACATTTTATGAGGTCTGGATGGTAGTCCAAACACAGGGTGAAGATTTTATTAGTTTTGTTTTACCGTAGTCTGTAGCCAAAACATTTGATCAATTTTCCTTTCCGTGTAATAAACCATTTTCTGTTATTTGACTGAAGTGCCTGTGATACATTGTGATTTCTAGACAAATGAGTAACATGGACATACCCATTCAAGAACGTGAGGACAAATAAGCTTACACAAACCCAGGATATATCTCTGGGAGCACCCCAAAACCTGGGTTTTTGTCACTCTCTCATACAGGGGGTTAGTATGTTAATACGAGAACTTATAGATTCTTTATCTGCTTGCCTCCTTGACCAAAGTTGTTTCTTGAAGGCAAACAAGTCTTTTAGTGCCCAGCTTATTAAAAACTATGTTAACTTTTATTAGTTGTTTTAAGGAAATATATTTGGAGTACATTTGTAATATATCTGGGGTATATTTTTCTGATATAAATTTGTCTTGTATATTTGGAATGTATTTGCCTGAAAATGGATCCTGCAATAGAGGTCAGAACCAAATTTCTGGGTCCAAATAAATACCACAAGTTGAGCAAAAAAACATAAGCCCTTGACCAGAAGACTTAGAACTGTCTTCCCGTTCTATTGGAGGGAAGGGAAACCACCGACTATGGTCAAATTCATTTCCCTATAATTCTACCGTCTAAGTTTTCATTAGAATTTATTTTCCTTAAGGCTTAAGGCACTTTTATATGTGTTCTGGTGGTGGGAGGGGGAAGCGCTTTAATTAGAGCTTTGCCAAGAGCTGCTTTAATTAAAGCACCACAGCGTCTCATGTATCAGTGTGCCCGCGCTTCAGAATGGCGGTGGGGGTGCTTGAACTAAAGCTTGCTCAGTGAATTTTAGATAAAGCTCCCCCCACCACTATTTTGAAGTGCAGGGACACTGATACATGAGATG